GGAAGCTTGTCCGGTCCTGGTACTTTTCCTCTCTTCAAAGCTTGAATGTGAGACAGTACTTCTGCTCTGGTGGGGAAGTCACAGCGCTAACCACGGCGCTTCAGATTCAACTGACGAAACAGTCAGGGTAGCGACAGGTCAGCTGAACTGTTGGTTGAAATACTCCGCTCAGAGGTCAAACCCTTGTTACCTTTTGTGAATACCTTGCCTATTGTTATCGCATACTGTTTTATCATCCAGCGTCCGTCAACCTCTGGTACCGCGAATCACTTGGAACTTTCTTTGCCTATCACCTGGTATGACGGCTACTTCCACTTCATTACCTATTTTTGCCGAACAGTTGTCACGGTCCATCTTGAAGTCCTTCTTGAGCTGATATTGCAAACGTTGACTACCCCTGTCTTTATCCTGGCCGGTCGGGGTAAACGGCATGTCCTTGTGACTATGGAGTTTACCCCGTCTACTGTTCATCACATAAAAAGATGTAATAAAAATATGCCGAGATGATGAACAAACACTATTTGGCGTTACCTTCTTTTCGGAAGCTACATTAGGCCTCACATAGAATATCCTCAGTCTCAGGGGTTGGTGAGGCTTTAGCATCTGGTCGGATCTCATCAACAGTGTGGATCTATCGCCCCAACTGCTACCCGGTGGCCGAGTGCGTATCAAGCTTGCGCTCTGCCTGAGGTGCCGAGTTCGATTGTGAGTTGAATCGAGGGATTCGCACTGCTGATGAGACGCAACCAGGTCGAAACAGATGTACAGTGCTTCGTAACTATTTAGGGGCACGTTTCTTTTGCTCCATACACGACGAAATCACTCTCTGAAATTGAATCAAATTCTTCATTACTCATATGCTTTAGTACCTGTAATTTATTCAGCAGCAAACTGCTTAAGACTATTTGGAAACGAGCTTTAGCCGGTGACAGACAAGTTGTCAGTTACAGGCCGGAGGAATGGGTAAGGAGAAAGATGGGCAGGAAAGAGAAAGAATTAAATCAAGTTTGAAATGTCTGAGTGTTCAGCAATATAAATATCAAAGGTTTCTCTGCGCTAAAAGATCAACGGCACCGGTCCAGTGTGTTTAGACTATTTTAAACAGTTGAGCCATGAAAGTGAAGTAAATAGTTAGAACCAACTGGATGTAAACGTCCCTGAGATGGGCTTACCACGTCAAGCCCAATAGTCCGGAACCAACAAACACGCAAACGCATAGTAGACGAAAAATTAAATGAACCATATCTAACACATGACCAAATACCTTTCCTATTCCAGATGATTGTGATTTGGCCAGACTTCTTTGATACAAATACTGATAATCGTGCACATTATCCAGTCCAGACAGTAACGAACGTAACTGTTGTTCCAGACTAGTGGCCATGCTCAAATTCAATGCAGAATACCGACCGGGATGATCGCTTGGTAAGGGCGGGGCCAGATCCAAAATGGATGAATTATTCGATTGAGTGGACCTCGACAGTTCGTCATCACCCATTATGTCGCACAACACGATGTTCACCAGATGCGAGTTGTGAATAACTACGGGTACTTCATCCAACAGACGCGTGAAATTACTCCGACCCAAAGCTGTGGCAGCTTCCTATCGTAAAAAGAACATTAAATTAAATTAGATACTGGGTACTGAGGGAATCAAATGCAACAGCCAGGAACAGAGATGATGATGTTATCGACGAATATGATTAGCCAAAAATGAAAATAAGTAGATGCTGTTTCCGAAAGCAGTTAATGTTTAGAACAAATGCCAAACTTGATAATGGAATTGTAAGTTGGTATTGGTTATATTTCATACAGAACTTCTGGTTGATAGAATACATCTAAGAGAGTTGCTGGTAACGTATAACGCAGAATTCGGTTTAGTATGCTGGGTACGCCTGTTCAGAGTAAGGCGCACATTCCAAAAACGTACTGCTTCATCGTTTAACGCCACGCAACGCCTCAAGTCAGCGAGTCATACAATACCGAATCAATCAAGAACTATTCGAGCCAAAATCAAGAGGGAGGGAAACTAACTTTAGTGGTCCAGCTCTTCCAAGTTCGGTTTCAGCTATTGTTTTTATTGTTCTCCAACATTTTCGGGCAAGTATTTTCAAAGAGAGCTCATAAAACATCTAAAAAGAACCTTGGAAAAACAATAAGTAGAATCTCTATTATTATTGCTTCTCTCTCCGCTGATGCAATTTTGGCTTCATACATCCAATAATCACCGGGGTAGCACCAATGTGATGGTGATGAACTCATTCAGTGACGGGTCAGATTGGCGATACTTAACAAAGCACGTACATGGATTTCCCTAGAGATCAACCACTAAGTGTGCCCTCTCCCACCCCAAGTCCTCAAACGTTCGCACCGATTCTGTGACCGTTTACTTAGTAAGGCCTCTTCATGATTAACTATCTGTGACTATCTTTGGATCGAAGCCATGGAGGTGCAACGATGGCATTTAATTTCGCTGTTTGTAGACTTGAAGTAGCTTACTGCCTCCAGCACTTATGTCAAAGATTTCAAGTTAGGTAGTAAACCAATGATCTTTATTCTAGTTAAAAGCCCTCTCCCACACCCTCAGTGAGTGCTAGCGTCTCTCTTGTAACTAACCTCTCCCAATTTTGCTGACAAAACTATTCAGCGTTTTTCTTTTGCCTCCGAGAGCCTCAGCATGATCAGGGTGGATGTCACGGGTTGTGACTGATCACCTTTCCCTCACCTCGCAAAACGCCCCTATAAGAACAAGCGTCTTAAATAGCCTCCGCTGAGGAAGCTCTACTCACCATCTTCTCGTGGTGGTGTTTTCCCACTAAAGTGCGAGGACGAAAAACCATCAACCGGGGCTATAACCGGGTTGGTGAGCCACTGGCAGTTCATCTGGGAGAGTTGGTTAAAAACTGGTTCCAAAACAACCAAGAGGTACACGAAGCGCACCTTGCTGATTAGTGCAGTGATCACCGACTCAAGTGAGCATTGTGGTATATTAGGAACCTTGAACGTCTGACCCCGTCCAAAGTGTGTATGATCCGATGAAGTGGACAAAAACCATCAATGGATTGTGGTTTGCGCACATCGTCCCGCTGCCTGGCGGACCAGGCTTGGTCGGGCAAGATGAAGGGTCCGGTTATGAATTTCCCAAGATTTATTTGCCTCGGCTCAGGCAACCTGGTAGTATACCACCCACAAGAAAATCATGGAAAGTGTACAAAGATTCTTATACTGTCATTTGTTTGGCAGTCTGGACTCGGGCGTTATATATGTATGACCTTTTTACCCATCTTCGAGCTTTACCATTACCATAAATCACCATGACTGTGGTTTTCATTTAATTTCTGATTACGAGTAAAATGAGAAAAGATGAAGACAACCGTCATGGAAACACACTGTTTGAATATGGAAATCAGAAACCTAAACTCCTTAAGGAACATCTCAACTATTCATTTCAAAACCCGTTCTCTGGAATACTTCAAAGACTTTCTTGATAGTAATCCATCAGCAGTAGTAGCCTTTCTACTCTTGGTTACGCTTTTATTCCTTCTCTTTTTGTTACATACGCTTGCGTTTCAGCGGGATTTGAAGTCACGCATGGATAACATCTTTACACGCCGTAGGCTCTACCATCCGACCTACTAGACAATACCTACAGTTCTGATCTCTTCGCATTTTATTACTCAGTCAAGTCACACAGGCACATAAACAAGATAATCTATGACCTAATTGCTTTTCACATTGGTAATCAACAATCAACAAAGTTCTTTGTACTTGCTAATTTTTCCTAGTGTTTTTGTATTACGCACATTGGTGTGATGAGAAGCAGATTGGGTGGATCCCATATTCGCGAAGACCTGCTGTTCAGTGATGGTCAAGCACAACTTAAGCCCTGGGACTTGGAGTGGCGAACGACATAAAAATCCGCTACGTTAGGGGAGCTATTGAACCGGACTACAGCAGAGCTGCCCACCAAAGTTGGGTGGCAGTGGCGAGACTCCAACCTGTGCACAAAACGCTTACCCAAACACCTTGTGCTAGGCAATGTGTATATTAGCCTAATTTTGAACATAGTTTTTAGTTTCAATTTTTTGCAACCATTAACCATGCACTTTCGAGCACCGGTTTTGGTTGCTGGTAATTTTAAGACGAAACTTCCATCCATTTTCCCTTCAAGTTCATCAAACCCAAGTTATTCAGCCCAAAAATGGTGACTATACCATAGTGATTGTATTTTATACCTCAGATTTAACAATGCATGTGTTATGCCGAAAGAGCGGAAATCGTAAGTGCCTGAAAGTGTATAAAGTATCAGAGAAGCTCAGGATAATATTTCTCTCCTGCTTGAGCTAGTAATTACAACGGACGTGATACACATTCAGAAACCGATGATATCTACGACCTTCGGGAAGAACACTAATTTACAGCTTCCAATCAGTAGCTGACAATGTTGTTCGCTACTCCAAGTCCTAGGGTTTAAGTTGCCGGTTTCCATCACTGAACAGCAGGACCTCGTAATTATGGGGCTGTCCCCGTCTGCCGTCCATCACACTTAGGTGTAATAAAAAAACAATCGAAAGATTTGACAGGATTTCCCTGTAAAATCTTTGCTCACGTTTTTTTCTACAAACAACCCTTATGGGTATCCTACTTTCAGTGGTCCATTAGTATAAATCACCAAAATACACCATAATACCATGATGTAAGTCAAGTGTACTGAATGGACTTACACATTCCCAAAACACATCTGGACCCTGAAAAAAGAATGGGAATACTTGATATTACCAATCAAAGAAAAAATGAGAGGGAAAGAAAGGGGGAACGCTTGGAAACACCATTCCAGGTTTGGGGTAAATAAAAGGTAAATTCTTCCGCCTGAAAATCTAGCAGAAACCGTAAGAAGATCAAGAACTAAATAGACCTTGAAGATTTATACTAAAAACCATCTCAGAATATGAGCTTTGATATCGTAAGAAACGTCTCAACTACTAATGTATGAAGCATCAGTCAAGGCTCAAAGGGGACCAGCAAAGGTTAACTAACAAATTTAGAAAAGTCAAAAGCGTCTGAAAGAAAACGAATCCATGGTAAAAAAAGGATATAAAATGAAGAGCCTTTCCGATCTCACAGGATGAAAGTGGGAGCAAGATGTTATCTAGGGTTTTCAAGATCAACCTCAGTTGAAACGCCGCGGGCCAAAATGACCATTACAAAAAAATCATGTATCCTGATCATATTTTTCCTAAATAATTTTGCCATTCTCTTCGGAACTCCTGAATGGGGAATAAGTATAGATGTAAACTGCATGGGCCTCCAGATTATAAAAATGACGAAGGCCTGCAATAAACGTTTTGAGTAGGAAGCAACGGTGGTATTGGCTGGTTTCTTTCAAGTTCGTGAAACCACAAATCAGAAAGAATAGACCAGAAATGGTGAAGCTGCTGGCAGGAAAAATATTGTGGATCACCAATTAAAGATAGTACACAGCAAACATTCAACACCAATTTAGCAGTAACCTATTTAGTTAATTACTAAAAAGATGAAACTTTGAGTTTGTTTATTTTATCGCAAAATAGACCAATTTAACGAAGGGGTCCACTAGAAAATGGCTTAAACCTTGTCCTGTTTCAAAATGTCCTGAAATCAAACCAAAATCTGGACTCAGTAATTCTCGATTATTGGGAGCGTCATTGATGCCATGGTAAAAGCTGTAGGCCGAGTTAAGGTTTCTGTGACGAAAAACAGGCTCGTACCTATAATAGCGGGATTCATGCACCATAAGTTAACAGAATCCCTCTGGTGTTAACTCAGTTTTCCAGCGGGTCTCACAAACCTTTTACTGGTGATCCTCTTACTTCTTCACGGGGCCTCGGTTACACTTTACTCAACAAACTATAATGGCAGAGGTCCAATAATACTACCAATTTGTTTGCTGTAACTTAAAAATTATTAGTAACTATTGCAATGCAGTAAATGACATGGAAACGGAATAAACTGGTTTACTTATATGAAACCCCATTCAAAGACCAGCAGTTGCAGCATCGTCAGAACTGGTCAACACATGAAATACCTTCATAAGCAACATGTATCGCATTCGCAGATCCGATTTGGGAGTAGCGAGAACCTTGCGCCACGGTAAATGCATTGCAAATTTTTGGGAATATCTTGCATGAAAGAATTAAATATGCATAAAATGAAGCTGTAGTGTTACACAAAATATATTGCCACAGTAAACTATTCAAAACAAGGAAATGTAATCAAACGGAAGATAGATATAACTGCGACTGTGAATCTATGTCAACTAATTTGCTAAGGTTAAACTAGTCAGCATTAGAAAGTGAAAAAGAATTGTTTCTAGCAAAAACTATCTACTCACCTTGATATTTGTGGATAGTCGCAAACGGCGCTCCGCTTCCTCTCGGGCCGTAAGCAAATCCGGTGACAGTTGGTATGCCTTCAGGCCAATCTGGCCCCGAGCAGTCCTCGTTGGATCATACGTCAAAAGGATGGATTCAGGAACATCAACCTGACGTTGGAATATATTATCAATGTTAGCCCTGTTGATGGTCACACCACCAGGTCCGCTTTGATAAAAGCCAACGTTGAGATAATCCACATTGAGCTGTAAGTTATTGAAAACCAATGTGCATTAATTACCTGACGAAGAATTTTGATCATTTTAGTTTCGAATGCATTTAAAGTTTCGTTAGCGTTCGGATCGTCATCTTGAGTTTTGGGTAAGGGAAAGCAATTGGTCACTTCCAGCTCATTTCCCTTGCGGAGGCCCAGTAAAACTCCATGAACTGGATACTGGCTTGATACAGCTTCATCCTGGTAGTGCTTAATGACTTTCAACAAGACCAGACCCTCAACGCGCACCCGCTCAAGCCTTGGTTCCATCATGCGTGAAAAACGGGTAGCGCAGGTCTCAAACTAACCTCCGAATTTCAGTTCATCAGGTCAGGTCAGGTCAGGTCAGGTTGCACAGAACTGGTAGTGGCCACAGGCCAATCACGCGTCCAGAATTCCTTCGGTGGTATGCCCTAGAAAGTGCATCCACCTCTGCGATTGATCGGTTTCTCCTTTTATCTGCAAACAGAGAGAAAGAGAGACTTTACTTCTCGCCGTGCCGGCGAGTGACCTTTGTTGTTCAGTTCAGTTCAGTTCAGTTCCAGGACGTTGACGGCGGTGTGCCAGTTAGTCCAATTTCCTGCAGCGGTGGGCTCCAGAGATCCCCCGATGCTACGACAGATGGAACAGGGAGATGACTCTTCTTCAATTTTGTGATCAAAAACTTCAGGAGAGTTGGGTGTTGACCTGTAAGGTGCACTGGCTCCGTCCACGCGTGGCCCTGGTTAGTTAAATAGACGGTATTACGGACCCCCGGACACTCCCCACGAGTCGTAACGTCAAACCAATACGACAGAGTGGTCTCAACAGCCGACGTATGCAAAACAGAAGGCAGACTAGGAGACCTGGACCAAAGGCACTGTATTTGAATGTGAAACACAGTGGCGTCGCACGGTGCGTTGAACGACCAAGGTGGAAGTGTGTGGGTCTAACGCGCGTCAACGTTCAGTAAAACAAAAAGAAGCGTGACGTAAAACACGAGCGACGAAACGGAGTCACTACAGACCTCCTACTCTCGCGCCACATTCCGGTCACGCCTAATGGATCAGGGCAGCAAACCAAGTTACAACCCCGGCCGAAAGGAGAGAGAAGTTCTAGTGGCAAGTAGGTGGTCGGGTGATGGTGACGGCATGGGGATATGGTAT